ATTCACCTTTATTATATAGTACGGATTTATCTTACACATTCATCCAGTTTTCTTGTTGATTATAAGATACATTGCTAAGGAATTGTGATGTAAAACGATTTTTACTACGTATTACAATAGGAAAGAGCAACATTTGTTACCCCGCCCACACAGTTTCTCACATCTGCACCTTGGCTACATTTAAATTTGAAATTATAATATGAATTTGTAAGACCTTAAATGTAACTCGCCTCGTCATTGTTAATGGATTTTGAAAGATAATAGCTCTAAATTATAGTAGCGTAAGGTCTAAATTACTACATCTGAATTGTTTAAAAGTTGCATTCTGAGACGGTTCCAAAGATGTGATTAAAACCGGCGTGGGTTAGGCCTTTATGAATATATAGCATAAATATTACCTCTTACCTAGTAAGGTTAGATAAAGTGCGACATACATGCATAAGATTTTCATAAGGAATATTCCATTTACTACTTGTATTTTATGAAGACACATTGCTTCATAAAATTATTCAGAATCAAACTGTTTAATGTTGTTTACAAATATACCTCTGAATATGATATATGTACAGTTATCTATATGCAATTGTGCAGTATTTATCGAAATTCAGTTAATACTTTCTTAGATTTACGTGAATATTTGACATTTTAAATAAAACTATCTTTTTGGATTATTTCGCAGATTTATTTTGATTTTTGGTTCCCAAGAAAGTTTTTTGCTGTAAAGCATTCGAAACGTCGGGAACCAAAAATCTAAATAAATCTGCGTAATAATCCGAAAATATAGTTTTATTTAAAATTCAGTTAGTATAATTTTCAGAATTTCGTTTTATTGAACTTTAATAGTCTAGTAGTCGTCAGCGAAGAAGTATATAGTACAGTAATTCAATGCTCTTAGTTAGTTGTGTCCAAGGCAACCTTTACGAGTGTCTTTACAGGCATTTTCTTCTGACTATAGGTATACCTTTTGAGTTGGCTTGCAATGTTGTAACTTAAGAGGTCGATGCAAGCCTAAAATATCAACTTTATATTACGTATGAAGTAAAGCCATATTGTAACTTGTGAGACATTAAAACTTGTGTAAATGTCACATTATTATAATAAGGTAAATAATATTTTTTTGTAAATGATTTTTTAAAGGTGACAAAATTAGAATATCTATATACGAGTATTATAAACGCGAAAGTTTGTATGGATGTTTGTTACTTTTTCACGACAGAACGGCTGAACAGATCTGGATGAAATTTAGCACAGAAATAGATTATAGTCTGCTATAACACATTTTGACCCGGAAAAATGTACGGTTCCCGTGGGAAAGGTTTGTTTTTGTTTTCCTAGTAGAACCGCTAATCTTACACTAATAGTTAGTTACATTGTATATCAGTCTTTCTTAGCATACTTTCTAAATCTACTTAATAAGTATGAGCAAATAAGCTGTAATATTTCAATACAGTAATTATAATTATCAAGCTGTCTGTCTGTCCTGTTAGTGCAACGAGTCTGTGAGGAAGCTACCACTGGCTTGGAATGCAGTTCTGTTGAAAAGGGCTGGGGAACACTAAACAGTTACTTTTTTACCCGACTTCAGCGAAGCCCAAGAAGGGTTTTGTGTTTAACCTGTATGTATAGGTATATGTATGTCCGATCCTACGTTCCCTCGTAATTACTCACAGCAAGGATAAATCCTCGCCGACTGTCTCCGACTGTATAATACTATATTCCTTCATTAACTTGTCCCCATCTTCTTAATTCGTTTTTTATGCAGTCGTGTTTTATTAAAGGTTAAGTGATAATATTCTTTACATAATATCTTCTGGATTCTTTGATCAAAGCAAGAAGCTATGAAATCAATAGCATATAAGCAGGGTCTTTAATGCCAAAGTGGTTAAGTTTACTTAATTAAAAGCTCTGTTGATACTCGTAAATTACTAATGATTTAGAGCATCATGAAATTGTAAATACAGAAAATGTTGTGACACCATATAGCATATAAACAAAACTCATTCTTAATAAAATTGAACATTAAATGTTAAATAGAAAAATTATTACGTGCTTTATTAACATATATTTTTTGACTAATGACTTATAGTTTCATGTTTAACTTTACATACAAGAACTATATATTAAGATATTTTAACATATATATTGATATCTAAGATATTATTTCCACACGTGCTATTCCGACATAGTTTAACTTCAGCGCAGTATCGACTTTCGTTTAAATTATAAAAGTACCACTAAATGCACATACCTCCGAGAAATCACGCTGCGACATTTTATACAGCTACATTCTCCTTAGTCGTTCCTGTAACAATTATATTTAGATTTATAAAACGTAATTTCATAGTCAACTACTTAATTGTTTTTATTTCTCCTGTTGTTTGTTTGGGCTTTTAAATATTTGCGAGCTTTGATTATTTGCTGCTTAGGTACGAGTCAAAAACAGTGACAATTAAACATTTTTTTGATATCTATTTAATCACAAAAAAATAATATTAGGTACCTTTATAAGATATAAGTGATATATTAAAACACGTCATAAATATATCTGCTTAAATGAAAAACTAAAGATTTAAAAAGACTAGGTACTGTCCGTTTGTACTGTAAATATTTCGTGATGGGCCAACAAGCCTGGCTCCGGTAATATTTCATTTGATATATAGATTCAACTGCAAATGAAACATAGAACTATAAATTAAATTCTACAGCTTTAAATTATATTAATCTCTGCATAAGTTACAATAGTAAAGGCCCAGCCACACCTGAATTAAGTGGTTTGACCCCGAGTGTTCAGGAAAATCAAAATGTACTTACAACCTATGTAGTTGCGAAAACCAGGCACTTTACAATTCTAAGGAAGGTGTACTGAAGTTACCTAATACAAGCATTGGCTTGTTACGAGTAGACGTCATCGTTTCATTCCATCTTAAATAAAATTAGTAGTTTGCTTTTTCTGTTTCTACGTAAAATATTGAAACAAAATTGTAAATGTGTTAGAAAAAAGACTTTGAACATGTATTATTAATCGACTTCTAATTTTTTACTCGTAAATACAGGTTTAATATAAAAATGAAATCAGGTAGCAAAGCTGTGGTGTGAATGACTTAATAGATACACTTTAAAAAATATTAATATTAATAAAAGCGAGTGGGTTGGTTTAAATTTTATTTCTGAGTAAAGATTGATTAAGCAATCTTTACTCAGAAATAAAATTTAACCGAAAGTCTGTGATCAGAATATTTCCTTTTTGCACAATCTCATACTTCAATTTTCAAATGGTAATTTCAAAGACGCTGTCTGTTTGTTCTATTGTTGTTTGAGTCTGTTTGAATTAGCTGGACTGATAGTAAAGGTACTTTTACTAGTGAATAGAGGATTTGGCCCAGAGTTACATAGGTTACTTTTTATCCTGATGAAATGATTCCCAGCGAGAAGCAAATATTAATAATAACAAAATAAATATCTTGCTTCCTTTGCCCAAAGTGTGGTTTGAAGTCATTACAAAAGTTATAGGGTATGAAGTACAAAGGTCGTAAATAATATTTCATATGAGGTTAAAACCTTTTTGACTAGGCTACTGCACAATAAAATAATAAAGGTCCACTGAAATACATTTAACTGCCTTCTGAGACGTTAGTAAATTGTGCGCAGCCAGACAAAATGTTTTACTGTTCTTTTGGCTTTTACATCGTCACTCCAAAGTCCAAACATCCCTTCCACATTGTGTGTATGTACTTTACATTGAAGAAACATACAAATTACCCAGTAAATTTAAAATGATGTTCTCCTAGCCGATTCCGGCCACGGCGGCCAATCTCAATGAGATTAGCCAACTGCGCAGGAGATATTATAGTGCTCAAGTGTACGCGCAGACACTAGTGCACTCTCTATTCCTATCACTCTCATACTCCGGTGGGACGACCACTCGACACGACCGGTGAGAGTTAAGGCGCAGGACCGACAGCTTTACGTGCTCTACTCTATTTAAAATATATAAATTTTAGCGACTCACCCTCGCTCCGCTCGTCCCTAGTTACGTTTTAACGTTTTGCTCAGAGATGAGATATTTTCCCGCATTAAAAAGTATCCTTTAGGTTCTATCATCATACCAAATTTCATCAAAATCCCTCCTGTGGTTTTTCCTTGATGCGGTAACAGATAGGCAGAAGACAAAAATTCTAAAAACTATAGATTCGGCTTTTATATCGATAATAATGTCTACCTCAATAAGATTTTCTAAAAAATAGTTATGTACAGATTTAGCTTAGTTAGAATTTTATTATATGTGTAGATTAATGTTTTTAATATAAGTATTAGGTACTTATAGTTACTAAGAGTTATTGTATTTATCCTCCTGCCTACCAGAGACACTTTTTTTGGAGTACGCTCTTGAAATTTTAGTATAATATCGGTAATAGGGTATTATATGCTGGAAAAATAGTAAAAAAAATCCTATATCTAGAAAAACGGTTTTCAACTATGTCCTATATGTAGGACAAAGTGACTATATTACTATGTGATTTGTGTAGGACATAGAATAGTTTATAAATATAAATTGTAATTAGAAAAGAAATAAAACACAAATACAACATATTGTGACCTTTATATTATATATAGGCATTATAAAGTTTCTGAAAAAAAACTAAAAAGAAAACTTCTTCTATATAAAACTTTCAAAATTAAACATTTCTTGTCATAAAAATAACTAAATATTATTATGAACTTACAAATCAGTCGCAATTAGGAATATATTTAGATATTAATCAAGTTTTATCGACACTTATACCCTTCTACTACTACTACTCTAAGTTTTGGTGAAAATCGGAATATCAATTCCTATTTGGCGTGAAGCAGAGATTAATATCACATTTTTTGCAAAATACTGTAGTTTTTTAGATGGGCAAATGTAGTATAACCTGATAAATCACCACGTCACAAACTGCGCCTTGCGGCGTAGCAAGAACCTTCAGCCCAACAGGGTTCGGTTTGTTAGGACAGTATTAGTTCATCGGACATTTTCCAGTAAACGGATTAATCATTTCGTCAATATTCTTGGGCCGGTTTTGTTCGTGACACATCTCCAAGATTCGATTAAACAGTGGCTGTATTTTCCATTTTTTTTGTATCTTCTGTTCTGCTGTCACTTCAGCATCATAAACACACTTCAGCCGTCGTCTGATAAAAAAGAATCTGTTCCTTGTCATAGCTATTGCAACTATGGAAACTTTCCACTTTTCTGACCAGTACATATCAATTTGTGGATACTGCAGTACTGACATTATCATTGTTATTCCTATATTCTGAATCTAATGTATCCTTGGTCCAGGTATCTTGAAAGCCATCATTATGTTGACGATTCCTATTTGCAATCTGGTGGGTTGACAAAGGCGACGATTGCAGCCATGGAGTATCCTCGCTCAAACTACCACGTCCACGACCGCGGCCATGTCTATGTCCACGTGAAACACTGCTACCACGTCCTTTGAGCGGGGCCGTGATGACGTAAATACGATATCAGAACTGCTAGAGAACGCCGGGGAAGCAGCTGCAAGAACCAATGTGTTTCCCTCTTCATCTGAACTGCTTGACTCACTGATTTGATGATCATTGGCTGTTTTGTTAAGTTCTGGCGACACAAACTTCGAATCTTCATCTGAATCATCTCCCGAAAATTCAAACTCAGAATCGTTTAACGCCTCCGCTATTCCATTGTCCGTTAAAACTAGAACAAACATAAGTAAGATAAAATATCTATCAATGTACTTTATATAGTACATCGGAAGTCTAAGTACTAAAACTTTTATTGCCTACATTTGTCTTCTGCAAAGGACATAAAAAAATACAATACGTTGTCTTGCATGTTTTATACAATTACGCAAAAATATAACTACATATCATCATTTTAAACTTCTAATTACTTTACTATCGCAAGAAATCCAATAAAAATTTAGATTTACATAAGATTTAAATCGATTAACTTACCTCTGCGCGCAAGCATCGACACATGTCTGTCTTCCATCGCCATTTTGAAAAAAGAGGATCACATGGGAACTAATATTTATCTCTATTTGGAAACCCAGATAGTCGATAGATGTCACCACGCAAATATTTTGGGATTATGATTTTAAAAACCGGTAGTATATTTTTTTAATTCCTATGTCCTGGCTGTAGTACAGATGTAGGCAGGAGGTTATGAGCTCTAACGTTTTATTTACTTATACAGATTAAATTTATAATAATTATAACCAAGCATGACTTAATGTGCAATTTTGTAAAAAGTTGTGTTACGTTTGATCATTGCGTTCTAGTCATTGTGAAATCAACTTTAATATACAGTTATAAAGTTATAATCTGTATAAGAATTTCATAGCATACCTATCTCTTGAGGTTGGTAGTTGTGGCTGACTATAATCTGATGGAACTCAGCTTCCGCTAGCGGTCATCAAACTTAGATGAGAAATCGCCGTAAAAGTGCGGTAGCGACATCATATACTAAAAGTTATAAGACATTTAACAAAAGCTCGAGTCACCATTTATTACAATAATTTAAATTTACATTATTTCGTTTTATTAGTTTTGTACAGCAACATCGATTGTCTACCTACTTGTCTTGAGCCTAAGGAAATATACAGCTTAACCATTATAAAATATGTATATTAAACCAATATTCGTATATAGAAAGTTTTTGAGATGAATAATAAAGCATTGCCGATTTTTGAGTTAAGAAAAAATATAATTAAAAGTTAAAAGTCATATTAAGTTTGATTAAATATATAATAATATTCTGAGTCGAATCTGTACATTAAATATTTTTTTGGAAAATGTTATTGAAATAGACTTTATTATCGATACAGAGGCCAAATCTCCGCATCAGGGAAAAACCACTGGAGGGATTTAGATGGCTATGGTAATAGCTGGTTATCCTGGTCAACATATAGGATACATTTTATTGCGGGAAAATATGTCATCTCTGAGAAATCTATTCTAAACGTTAAAACGTAACTAGGGACGTACCCGAGCGGAGCGAGGGTGAGTAGCTAGAAAACTTATATGATTTAAAAAACTAATGGCTTATTTTACGAAAATATAATATTCGGGTATTTACTGTTTTTTTTTATACCAGACAGAGGCCTTTCTAATATTTGGACGAAAAATGAGATTTTGTACTTGAATATTGAAGTTGTTACTTTTTCTAACACTGACATTCAGAAATAATATAATAAGAATAAAGATATATTATGTTAATGAAATCTCTCTTTTATGTTTAATATTTAAACAGTTCAACATATGTAGTATAATATCATATTATGAATAAATTTCTATTTCAGAGATTTATTTCTCTATTTTTAAGGTTACTAAAATTCGCTCAACAGGAATCAAACCTATGGACTTTAAAGTAATAGTTAGTTAATCACACTTCCGACTTCAAGTAAGAGAAAACGTCTATTGGGTTAATATAATATTAAAACACTATGAGGAATTTTCATTTTTAATTTTCTTACTTTTCTTTATTAATTTCTAATATAAAATAATAAATAATAAAATAACTAATAAAGAGAGATTATATATATATATATATATACTACTAGCATTGCCCGCGGCTCCGCCCGCGTTCAAATGACCAAAAACCAAATTCTTAGGTTTTACATATTAATATAATGCAATGTAAGAGACATTGCAGTTTTTGTATTTTTTCTCAGAAATAGAAATGAGACATTTTCCCGCGGTAAAAAGTATCCTATATGTTGACCCGGATAACCATACCAAATTTCATCAAAATCCCTCTCGTGGTTTTTCCGTGATGCGGTAACAGACAGACAGACAGACAGACAGACAGACAGACAGACAGACAGACAGACAGACAGACAGACAGACAGACAGACAGACAGACAGACAGACAGACAGACAGACAGACAGACAGACAGACAGACAGACAGACAGACAGACAGACAGACAGACAGACAGACAGCCAGACAGACAAAAAATCTAAAACTATAGATTCGGCCTCTGTATCGATAATAATGTTTATTTCAATAAGATTTTCCAAAAAATGTTTAATGTACAGATTTGGCTTAGTTACAATTTTATTATATGTATAGATAAAGAAATATAATAAATAACTAATAAAAACACATTCAAATATATATTTTTTCATTACTAAGGCATTAATTGGAATGAAGTTATAAAAACATACATTATTTTAAATATATAAATCTAGAAGCTAATGTGTTGTGTTATTTTCAAAATACGGTTTGTAATTAATAATAAATACTGGTCTGCTTTTATAATTCATATCAGATTACGAGCTTAATGCTTAAAAATATCTCGTTTTACATACTTATTGATCTCATTTTGCATATATAACCTACTTAACTAGGAATATCAATTTTGTTTGTTTGTTTAATGAGACAAAATTCTTTTTAGAATAAATTCAAATTAATAGACAAACTTTTATGGTACAACTAAATAAATGAAAATCATTTACATAAAAAGAATTATTAATAAATACAATTCGCAATTTAATATAAAATATCTAAGCACGCTATAAAACATCTAACACGCTATTATAATGCTCATTTGCATAAAATCAAGTTAGTCCTGCACAGTATCCTACAGGGTCAGTAAATATTAGTTTATACAAAAATGTTTCGATATCTCCATGTGTTAATAAATTATGGCAGTAACAAGAAGTCTGCTTGCATAATGGTCATAACGTGTCGCGGCTTAAATTTATTCATAGTGCTTGTGATGATTGTCTCTGGCTATCGAGTAGAATGAATGAGACTAGGTCGGCTTGGACTTAAATAATAATAATAATTTTATTTATTTAAGACACAGTCCACTTGTTAGTTACATTTAAAAACTTACAACTATGTTAGTAAAACTTATTGTGTAATAATATAATATACCTACTAAATAAAAACTTAAAGCTCTTTCTAGTAGACCAAAGACTTTTTATGCAAAAATAATTTTGATAGATTCATTATAGAGATTAGGTTATTAGGAAATCTGTAGTATACACGGGCTCTTTACTTATAAAATGGCAGTATGTGGTTACAATGTCACTTTTATAAAACAAAAACGTTGGTTTAAAGGAAATAAATAAATTAGAGCACTTATCGAAGGTGTGAAATTTTACAGATTTTGTTATTTTTCACCACATAATATATTTTTCATGCTTATAATAGAGTAGATATATTATATACTCTATTATAAACATGAAATATATTTATGTTAATTTTCTTATGATAAACATAAATGAACACGTAAAGATATAATTTTACAATTTTCAAAAGACTACAAAAATATTATGGATAAAATAGTGAAAACAAAGAATATTATAAATAAACGTTCGGTCTTAAAAACACAAAGGGTTAAACCGAAGAGAAACATAAATAAAATTTCGAGACGAAAACATTATTTCCATTCAATATGAGAGGGGTGAATCTTCGCATAAATCATTTCCACCTCTCTCAGCGGTCTTCGGGAACTCGATTACATTTATCTCCATTTCTGATATAATATTTTATGTTATATTATACATACTAGTATTATAAATATGAAAGTGTGTTTGTTTGTTTGTGGTTCTTACATGTCGAAACATAGTAACGGATTGGAGGTGAAGGCTGGAGATGACATAGGCGTTATTGCGGGAGATTATCTCATTCCCACGGGAGTACACGGTATAATAGGACCCACAATAACTCATCATATATATAATACAATCCACAATAACTCATCATACTTATATAACAAGCGACTCACCCTCGCTTCGTTCGGGTTCGTCCCTAGCTTGCTACCCAATACAAACTTTCATCCCCATTTAAACCGAGCCGCTAGTATTATACATATAAGTAACATTGCTGTAAATAGCAAAATAGTACGTTAGCATTAGAGAAAGTACTGCAAAGATAATCTTTGAGATGATCTTGTAAAACGACTTTTGTCACTTTCGAAGTTTTTACGATAACTACGGGTATATTTAAGTTTACCGCGTTGCTGTTGCAAAATGAGCATAACCATTGCGATTTAGAGAGGAAAACATTATTTCCATTCAATATGAGAGAGCCGAATCTTTGCATAAATCATTCCCACCTGACTCCCAACGGTTCTTCGTAAGGAACTCGATTACATTTATCTCTGTTCACACTCAGATTGTTACAACAGAAATGGCATCTTAACGATTTACATTCCACACTTTTACACGACATCGATGAAGTAAATGCATGTATGTAGATTGTGGATATAGGTATATATATTATTCAGCAACCTGTTTGATAGTTTC